CGCCCCTGCCATCCCCCTGCCCCCACCACGCCCCGGCCCCCACCACACCCCTGCCCCCACCACGGCCCTCCTCCCCACTATGCCCCTGCTCCACACGCCCTTGCCCCCACACACCCCTACTCACCTCCATGCTGCTACCCTCCAGCCTCTGTCCCATGCTGCTCTCCACAAGATGTTGTTCAAACATAGGATTCCGGTGCCCACTGGCTGGAAGAGCTAGATCCTGACACTGCCCCTTTCTCTGATCCACAGCAAGGCCCTGAACCTCCTCCCCATCCTGTCCACCTCCATGGCAACTTGGTCACATTTGGTGAACTAGACTGCTTGATTTCATGGCGTCTTCGGTGGGAATCAACGCTCTGACCTGCACTCTAAACCTGCGCACTGCGCTCAGCGAGGGCTCCAGGCTGGGTTAGGGCCTGGCCCACAGTGGTCTCCAGGCACATGGCAGCATTGCCGGGGCACGGCTCCTGCCAGGGGTGAGGGCGCAGGCACAGAAAGGCTGGTCTTAGCCTCTGTCATGTGACGACTGTGTGACCTCAGCCATCACTTAACTGCTCTGACCTCGGTTTGTTATCTGCCTCTCGGGGTGCGAGAGGGACGGCGTTTCTAGCAGGCCTGCAGTGGCTGGTTCTCATACCCCACGGGCCTTTGCCACCTCGCTTTCGCTCAGGGAAGGCCCTCCCCCACTGTGCCTCAGCTTCCCCCTGTGTGGGACCAAGGACTCAGTCTGCTGCTGTCCCGCCCATTCTCGGAGGGCCTTTATGAAATACGCTGGGTTACAGTCAGACATCGAGTTCCCCCGGGGCAGGCCACAGGAGAAGATTCTGGGCCGTCAGTCACCCACAGCCAGTAGAGTATGATTTTTTAACTGCCAGAGGGTGCATGCGTTTGCAAGGGGAGAGAGAGAACATACCTCCCAGGGGCGTGTCGTCATACTACAGTCCCTTTTCTTCTATTTCTTGATTCCGTCAGGAATTTGGACACACAGGCACACACACTGGCATGTGTTCTAAGCCCCCCGGGCTGGGATTCTAACCACAGTCGGCCAGATCGGTCCAGTTCCCCGGGACACAGGGCTTCACCATGGCACTCCGAGGCCAGCCCACCATTGTAACATTACACAAGTTTTTTCCTCCGGTTGTTATTCTTGGCAAACATTTTCTGTTTTCTCATCTTCCCTTACATATTATACAGTAAGGCCTGTAGTTAGCTGTTCTTGCCTTAAACGTGTGAGGGGTCTTTAAGAAGTCCATAGAAAATGTGTATTATGAAAAAAGCCATGAATGGGGACCAGCAGTTAGCGTAATGGCTATGTCGCTGGACTCCCAAGTAGTTGACCGCGGTTTCAGTCCCGGACCTGTTGGCTTAAACTCACACCAGGCGCGTGTACGTGTGTGCCCAAGATCCCCAGAGGAGAATGGAGGAGAAGGGATTGCGGCGTGGCCATCCCCCCTGGGGGGGTGATTTCTCGCTTTCTGTCTCTCTCTCTTTCTTCCTGGTGAGCGCACACGCCCTATAGCAAAAACCTCTAAAAAAAAAAAAAGAATGATTTCAGTATTTTTACACCAAAATAAGCTTATACTTTAATTTCCCTTATCCATGGACTTTTTGGAGCCATGGGTCAATTCGAGCAGCCACCCGTTGAGCTGATAAAAGCACACGGTGTATATCCCCGCTCCCCACACCTCAGGGGTCTGCACTCTACGGCAGAAATGGGGAGGTCTGAGGATACAGTAGCACAGACCCAGAGAGCGTAAGGGAGGGAGTGCTGGAAGAGGTACGGGATTCTGAGGCAACTCAGTCCCCCGTGCTACCGAGTGAAGAGCTGAGACCTGGTTTGACCTGGTTCTTGAGCCCATCCAGTCGTGGTGCCACTTCATTCTTTGTTTTAGAAATCTTTGCTATAGGGCGCATGTGCTCGCCGGAGAGACAGAAAGATGGAGAGAAAGTGAGAAATCACCCCCAAAGGAAATGGCCATGCCACAATCCTTTCCCCTCCACTCTCCTCTTGGGATTTTGGGTATGTACATGCAGCCTACGTGAGTTTCAAGCCTCCAGGTCTGGGACTCGAACCATGGTCAGCCACGTGGGAGTCTAGCACCTTAACCACCACACCACCTGCTGGCCTTGTGCCACTGCTCTTAAATACAGATGTGGCACTGGAGCCCGGTCTGTAGCGTGGAGAAGAGTTTGACCAGAATGGAAAAGTGTTCAGCTAAGAGTGTGCCTGTGGGTGAGGAAGAGGCAGCCGGAGCACAGCCGCACTCCCCAGCTTAGGTGTTAAGGACGACTTCGGCATCTTCTCTACGTACAGACATGAGGACCCGGCAAGACCTCGTGGGCCAGGTACCTCTGTACCATCAGAAGTAGCCTCAGCTGGTTCCGATGCTTACGATACTCCAGACGACGAGTCCAGAGCAGGTTAAAGGACACGGGGGCTGGGACGTGCAGTGCGCAGCCCCTGGGCCCACCTCAGTCTGCTTCATGTGACAGCTGTGATCTCAGGCCTGGGGAAAAGCAAGTCACTTGGACGTTCCGTGGGCGGGTAAACCCTGAGCTCAAGCAGAAAGAGGTCCAGTGCTGACCCAGGTACTAGGAACCAGGGCCATAATGGTCAAGCGACTGAAGGCAGAGCAGGGGCAGGGCCACCACGGCCGTGTGAGGCCAGGAAGGACAGGACGCACTGTTGGCTCGCAGGCTCTGTGACGGAGGACGTTGTGTTCAGCT